TTTTTCTCCAGGTTAGTGAAAACCATGTACAAGTCTTTTCTCAGTACTTTTCCATCAGTTGGTGCAGAAGGAAAATGGCCTCTACTTTTCCTTGATGTCTGAACACTCTTGACTTCTCAATAACTAACTCTCCCAGATTTTGATTGTGTGACTCATCAACTTTATACCTCTAACTTGAACAATCCTGAATGTCACCTTTATTATATACTGATACAAGATAGCTGTATCTCCTTTCCTCTGGCATATTTCCCATGTTCAAAGTTTTATTAAATAATCCAGTTAGTCATTTATGACAACTGTTGTCCAATGCCTTCCATGTCTCCACCAATATTCTGTCTGGGCCCACAGCTTTTCCATTTTCCATTATACTTGGGGCAATTTCGACCTATTGCACATTTACTACTACAGTCCTGCCTTCCTTTTTATCCATCTCCAGATCCCTTTCAACCTTAGACTGGAATTTTGGTAGACCATAGAAGTATTGTTTCCAATGCTCTCTTTTTCACCCTTCAATTTCCATCATTGTATCTTTGATTCTCCAAAGATACAATGATGGAAATTGCCAATCTGAATTTGAAGATAAAATATGGGAGGTTGTCTGGCCTCCCATATTTTAATTTTCAAATCCATCACAAGCATCCTGTGTTGAATGCTAAGGCTTCTCTCCTGGTATCACTGCAATCTTTACACATCTTCAGATTCTCCCTTCTGACTAAAATAGAGTGGTGGGAGAATGTCACAGATTGATTAAGTCATCATACACACCATTCTCTTTACATAAAGGGTATTTACTATGGCCAAGTCAAAGGCCATTACCATCTTGAGAATTTGTATTCCTTGTTCTTCACTCTAAAGCCCTGTCCACTATATCCTCTCATAACGATTTCTTTCTCTTCCAACATGTAGGGTCCCAGACAAGGTTCGAACTTGAGTAAACCGTGAAATTCTTGCGCGACACAAAATGTAAACAACGAGACTCGGAACAGCTCGAGTATGTGTCAAACTATCTGTCAAGGTCTTGGCGGAAGACAAACTCTAACACGAGCACTCATAAATAGGTAGATCTTTGACACGCGTGTCTATAAAATGTTGACCGAGATAAACCTTTCGAACAAAAAAAGGGGAATTTTTGATATATGAAAGATGAAAATGATCGTTAAATTCTTAGACGTCAAAAAATGGTAAATAACCGCCTGAGTTATGAGTGCAGGTGTTATTATTTTATAAACAGTCACCGAGCAGAGTCGACAAAGAGATATCAGATGGACACTTGGAATTGGACCTTTCCCGCGACCCGAAAAGGTTTCGTCTTGCACCTGGAGACAAAGGGGAGACCAATCGAGAAGCGAGGAATGGAACGAGGGACCAATCCGAAATGCAAACAGTGGGGGAAAAACTATAAAAATCTGAACTTCAAGGTCGAAAAAGAGTCCCCTCTGGATTAAGCCTACGGTGGTGATTTAGATTGTGTTGTGCATCCGCTGATCACCGAGGACGCCGCAACGTAACAACAAACTTCTGCTTCGTCCAGATATCCTTCTCGTCCGCCCAAACTGCGACCGATCACACAAACTTTCGCCGTTCCCAGGAGCACCGAGATTTTGGAATTGTCCAATATCGATGTAAGCATGAATTCGAACAAATAAACAGATTTTATCTTGTAAAACACTTGTTCATCATTTGCCTCCTTCGCTACCGCCCACATACGCGGTTTCCCTTAGGCTCATTCTGACGCGAGATAGACTTTATTCCCCCTCAACGTCGGCAAACTTACAAACATGCCCATTTATTACCTTGCATTCTGGTATTCCCTGTAATAGGTCATTAAGTAGTTCCAGAACTCCCCTTCCTGCTTGAGGGGCATGTACATTGAGAAAGCTCAAAGTTGTCTTTCCAAGGATCACCTTGATTGTCATAATTCTGTCATTTATTCTTTTTACTTTATTTTCTCTGTCAGTTCTTCACAGATCACAATCCCAACTCTGTTCCTTCCATTTCTCATCCCAGTACAACTAGTAGTCACAACAAATCTCTCCTTTTCTTTAGAATGTCTGCCAATTGTCTGTGCTTTCCTGTTAGTGTCTCCATGTTTCACAACTTTGGACTGGCTTTTTTGGCCACAACCATCCAGTCTTGTGTGATAACCCCTGCTCATTTTTCACAGCAACAGCAAGTAGTTTTACAGCCAGTTGCCACCTGATGGTAACCCTCTTTTCTCATCCAGGCTTGGGACCGGCAATGACAGAGTAATTTCATTTAATAACGCTATTCGACTAATCCATTGCTATTAATCCAAAGTGTGAAATAGATATTTTTTAACCACAAATTAGTTTTGATTTAAAAATCTGATAATTTTGCATATATCAAATTCTATTTGTCAATTTGTGAGCTTGTTTTATATATTCAGTTTAGGTTAACATTTTTCAAGTACAAGAGAATTTGCTCAAAGCTATATCATATGAAATCATAAACTAGATATTTAAAAGTGTAAAATTCAGTTTTTAAAGGAATATAAAACAATAAAAGAACAGTAATGAGTTGTGTAACTTTCCTGGCAGAAAAGTTAAAATTGTGTGGTGGGACCATCTTGATATTTTATTTAAAAAGTTTCTGTATTCTAAAATGGCAAAAAGCTTAATTTTAAGGGTAGAGAGAACTTTTATATAAAAAATTGAATTTTTCTAAAAATTTAGAAAAAATTGTAAATGCTAAATAACCAGAAATCTTGGCCCATCCCACTTGAGATACCCTCTGTCTCCCCATCCTTGACCTTTGCCCACCAAAATTTAATAGCATCAATGTCTCATGCAAATCTCCCTGCAATATTTCAGAAATTTTCAACAAAAGGCACAGGAGTTAGGCTTCAAATTGGGTAAACAAAACCACACATCCACACAAACCCCCATGTTTTTGCATTTCTTGGCATTTCAAGGTTATGAATCCAAAAATTAAAAATCTTGGAGGATGTTTTTTGACCAATCACCATATTTTCCTTCTTATACACAGTATAACAGCCAGGAAAGTAATGTATATATATGTGAGAAATCTAGAAAGGAACTTACATTTTAGAGTATTAAAAAAATCCAAGTGAAAGGAAACATTTTTATCATCAATATATATACTTGAAAGACCACTCAAACTAAGTGCCTCAATTTGAATAGCAACTATCATAATGATGTACTAGCTTATTAATTCCATCATAGAATTTTGTCGCCTGAAACTTCAATCACTCATTCATGCCTGCCTGCAGTTCCATGTCATTGTTGCCACAACTTCATGTGTGGAAACAAATAGTGGTCGCTCAAACCTCAAAGTTGCCAATGAATTCCAATTGGTTTGTGGTTTTTTGCCAACAAATGCTTAATCTCCAACTGTATTCCACAACTCGGGATTTTCAATTGCACCACACATTTTAAAAACTCTGTGGACAAACCAGATGCTAACACAGCTGAATGCGTAATGAGAGGGATGCTCTGACACCAAAATGGCAACTCTAGCCCAACCCACACCCCTAGTGGCCAAAATGTAAGTTACTTTCTGGATTTCCCTCGTAGTTTCTAAATTAATGATGTAATTTGAAGCAAATTCTGAAATCTAAATATATAAAATTACTTGTCCTGACTGACTGACAGTGATTGATTCATCATTGCCCAGAGCTGAACCTAGAGGTGAAATTTGATACAGTTAGGGTAGTCATGAAAACGTACACTAAGAAGGGATTTTTCAAAATTCCCCCACGGAAGAGTGTGTTCAGGCTTAACCTGAAGAACGGCTTCTACTGTGCTATTTTATATGCAATTTTTTGTTTTCAATTACGTTTAGTCCTCATTGAGTACTTAGGTGTATTAAATTGATAACATTTCAGACATTGTTATAAATATTTTTATATATTTCGATTTTTTAACCAAATGTTCGAACTGTTTTAAATTTGAATTTGTTATTGCATATTATCAAGTTGAGAAAATTATCGTCTAGGCGTTAATAACCAACATCTATCGCTACAAATAACAAGCGCTTTCAACGAAACTATTTTCGTCTTCTTCAGGTTAATTAACAGAACAGTTAATGTTCTTCAAATTCAAAATTACGGCAACGGCAAACCAGCCTTGGAATAAAAACAAATAGAACAAAAACGGAGAATTTAAAAGATGCGCGCTCAGTGCCGACGCGCATGAGCAATAGATTATTTTGCGAGAATGCGGAGCTAGCGACGTTGTTTTAGTCTGTTGTACAAGTTGACCCACAAGGAAGGCACATCCAGCGTGGGAGTGTTGCATGGATTTAACACGCTGGTAAACAGCGCCTCCCATATATACAGGATGTTTCTGCTATCACACTGTTTGAGTATCCCCACCTGGTCCCACTAGGTGGGACCAGGTGGGACCATTCTCGCAAAATAATCTATTGCTCATGCGCGTCGGCACTGAGCGCGCATCTTTTAAATTCTCCGTTTTTGTTCTATTTGTTTTTATTCCAAGGCTGGTTTGCCGTTGCCGTAATTTTGAATTTGAAGAACATTAACTGTTCTGTTAATTAACGTGAAGAAGACGAAAATAGTTTCGTTGAAAGCGCTTGTTATTTGTAGCGATAGATGTTGGTTATTAACGCCTAGACGATAATTTTCTCAACTTGATTACATAATATCCGGAGTGAAGTCCAAGAATAATTATTCACTTTTATTGCATATTAGTCTGATTATAGAACGATTGAAAACAGTTCATTTGATTCTCATCATTCTCGGCAGTAGGAGTTATATAACAACTACTATGGTTGTTGAAATACTGAATATAAACAGGGTTTGCTTGCAAAATCCACGCAGGCAAAGTCGTGGGTAACATTATTAGTATTTTGCTAGTATTTCATAAAAGTACATTGCCTCAGAAAAATATTAACAACAAATTTAAAATCTATTTCAATACAAAATGTACTATCATCAAATAACCTATATACAATGTATAAATGACTAAGGGAAGATGCATATTTAGCATTCTCAGTAAGAGTGGGCAATTACGATAGAACATGTTTTTCTTTTCCCATTAAACATGAACTCAAATATAAAAAAGGAAGAGGCAATTATTGTGACATTGTCACAATGCTTTCAATTTGGTAGTGTCTTGACCCTGTACACCATACTTTTCCTGTTAGTGGAGTCATGCTGGTCATCCAACTCCATTTGGGAGAAAATTTTAAAATTGTATGTAGTTAATCAGGGTCTAAGCTCTCCGTATCCAATTGGCTTTCATCTATCTAAATCCATTTCCAAGATTAAGAACAGATCAATGCCAGTGGGAATATATAGATCTACAATATTTGAAAATTGCAGCCTAGAAGGTTTACCTTTTTGGACAGAAATGCTTGTTATCTGCAAAAATCTTCAGACTGGAAAACAAACATAGTCTTTCTCTGTTGCTGATTTATCTTGGTGGGAAGGGTTGGTGTGAAGGCTTATAGGTGTGGAGCCTGCGTAATCTGTGCCAAAACAGGACTAAGCGCCACAATCTCTCCCTGATGAGTTTAATAGAAAACTATCTTGCAATAATTCACATTATTATACTTTTGGTTGAGGCACACTATGGGAGAAATACAATCAACACTTCTGCATTTATATTAAAATTATGCATAAAGTTTAGTGTTTTGTTTGAAATATGGAAGAACATATTGTCACAGAAGAATTTGCTTCAAGTACTGTGATTGCATTCTTTGTGTAAGAATGTTAATCCTCTTGTACCTCATCAATTAAATTCACTTAACATTGTGACTATGAAGTGTCGTACTTCCTATTTGCAATATGTGTCTTATATATTTAATACTATTTTTGGGAGCATAATCTCTAACACTGAGCTCAAGAAAAATAGTGGGAAAATTATTGTATCCCAATGTATTGTTTTATCATAAATAGTTCATTTATGATAAAACAATACATTGGGAGGAAAGGTCTCAAAGAGCATAGAAGTCATTTGAAACTAAGCTAAACCATCATGAATAAGTGTTTATTTATCACTATTCATATAAATTCTGTGATTCAAATGCAATACAATATACATATACATTGTAAACAAAAGCTTGTCCAAATTTAACAAAAAAAAAAAAAAAAAAATTTTTTTTCCTAATATCTTAGACTGAATATTTTCTCGATGTACCATACATAAAATTATCTACGTCTCCGATTACACGTAGCTCGCGCATAATGTTTACACTATATACAAAAAATGTATATCTGATTAAATTTGATTAAGCCATCTAATTTTTGTTAAGATATTTTTTCCCCCTGATCGATTACATTTGCTTTTTGGATGAGGGTGATACTGCAACAAAGACGCGGCTTTTACAAATTTTCAGGTACTGATGATCATCTTCATCTTTGATTATTTGCATGAAGGACGATCAGGCCACAAGCCAATGTTAGAATGGTGCCCACGCTCTGTCCGTTAGCTTTCCGGCCGAAGAGTCAAATAAAAAACAAATCCGTCGCTAAGAGTCGGGAAAGTTGCCTTCAGCGAGCCAGTTGGGTGATTAGGGCGGCACACATCTCAAAGAATTCCATCGTGTTGTGAGACTGGTTCTGACTGTTCGAATCCGTTGAGGAAGTAAGAGAATCTAAAAAAAATTAAACATTTTATACAAAACAATTACATTGTACAGCATACTTTTTAAAGATGGTACCGAGGTAATCAACTTTTATTAATAAGGAAGCATTTCTAGCTTAGGGTTTAAGGCACTAGAGTAGGTAAAGTTATCCACACTGTACATATTAGTGGAAAACCTGTCACACGAATGGTGAGTGTAAGGAAGAATTCAAGAGATTCTTTGATATTATTTCTCAAATGTTTTATTTTGCTTGGTATTCAAATTTGATGTTTCTGAATATCTGCAAATGCCATGATTGTTTACAAATTAAAAACTCCCTCCATAAAGGGCATCATACTAGGAAACTGTGGCCACAAAGCACTATTGCAGAAACCGCCATGCAAATCCCATTGAATAGAGTAAGTTGTGTTCACAGAAAGCATGGACTTTCTGTATGAAATGATACATCTTTCATTTTTGCAGCCCATTGTATGAGCAATGGCATGTCTGCTGGTAGAAGGCAACTCTTCAGCTTATGCCAAACCTCCTCCTTGAAAGTGGCTTTATGTACTGAACTGAATCATAACCTTAATATTTTTGAAGACAAAGTCCTTCCCAAAAAAGAGGAACCACCATTTATTAACTTTGTGTTCCAGACATTACACTTTTGGCGACTGACCTTCCCTTTTAGACTACTGGCCGCCAAACAATCCTTTAAAAACACAAACATATATGGAAGGTCAGTCGCCAAAAGTGTAATGTCTGGAACACAAAGTTAATAAATGGTGGTTCCTCTTTTTTGGGAAGGACTTTGTCTTCAAAAATATTAATCATAATTGTCACCATTGGACAAAAATTTACAAAAATGAGTCATAACCCGTTTGATCATGGATGTCTATGTCACCCAAGGTATGTCTTCAACATTTTTTTTTTTTTTTTTTTTTTATAGAGAAGATTCTCTATCTGTGTCGTCTGTCTCCAAGGAAAATGTTCCACTTAAATTCTCTGCACGTCTTTTCCATTACCTGTACTAGCACTAGAAATCAAGTATTATGTTGACTAAGGGTGATTTTACACTATGACCAATTACATGGACCGGACTAGCAAGTCCAATCATAGGAGCGGCTGGATTAGTGGCAAAAGCATTCACATTGAATATGCTTATGTTGGTGGCTGATTTGTTATGACCTATCGTTTTAAGTTTTTATAATTTTTTAAAAATATCTTTGTAATATGCAAATTTACATTATTAGTCACAGGCAGTTTTCGTGTTTTGAAGGTTTTCATTTGAGATGATTATAATATGTAACTCATTTTTCATGCAAAAATAAAAAACTTTTTATAATTTTTTAAAAATTTGAGATTTGAACTAGGATAACCAAAGCATACAGATCTATAGATTAAGACACAGCCACTCCACTTGCCCGTATGAGCATCTTTGCATTAGAAGATGTAAATTCAATATAACTNTGGTGGCTGATTTGTTATGACCTATCGTTTTAAGTTTTTATAATTTTTTAAAAATATCTTTGTAATATGCAAATTTACATTATTAGTCACAGGCAGATGACTTTTCAGAAAATTCTCTACTTGATAAAGTAAAAGTTTATTGTTTTGCCATCTTTTCTCATTATGTAGGTTTTAATGAATCCAAAGTCTGATTGTAATCAAGTTGGAGCAATCAGTGAGCTATTCACATTTTTCACTGGACGCTCACCCTCTGGTGTTTAAAAAGAAAACTATTCTATCTGGGTCGTTTATTGCTGATAATACACAAAAATGAATCAAAGATGAATAGCAATTGAAAAAGCAAAGCTTTCTGTTGTGTTCCAAATTGCAATTGCAATTTCAAAGCCTTACGAGAGCTTGATATAAGTTTTCGTCTATTCCTACACGAAAAATAGATGATTATTCGGGAATCGGTCAGTTATATTTATGAGCTCCGAATTCTGAAAGAGTGAATTAGACTGTTAAGAATTGGCAGTTTTCCGATTAGTTGTCCAGCTTTACATGAACAAGTTATGCTGTCAATTTTAAAACATATTTTCATAAAGTTTAAAATGCCAGTAATTTGTATGGGATACAGGGTCAGATTTAAGCATTTCAAAGCCCTAAGCTGAACTCTGTAAGGGACCTTACCAACCCTTCACAATTTTAGAAGTCAATCATAAAAGGAAAAGAATTATATCAGACTATGACTCTGCTTTAATACGGATATTGGAAGAAAAAGATGTGAGGTTTCACTAGTCTACTGTTTTATAATTGAATTTAATTTTTATACACATTCCATTAAAAATCTTTTTTTTAAATTGGTTTTATCAATTATTTTTAAAAAGATCTTATGTTAATTCTTAGAAAAAAAATTAATGAAATACTACACAAAATAAAAAGTAAAGTATATTTTGTTGGTTTGTAAAAAAATTTGACTTCAATTTTCTTTTTTGTACAAATGTTTGAGACCCTAAGCAATAACTTATAAAGCTTTTTACTTGTAAATCTAGCCCTGATGGGACAATGTCAACACTGATGTTTTTTAACACAAAGGGCACAAATATGTATAGAACAATGTCGCTCATTTGTTTCGATACAACATAATGATGTGTCCCGCTAGCAATAATTGTTCACCTTCTGTAAAATTTCTCGATAAACAGCTACAAGCAGCATATATCATTACATTGGACAATGATATTTTACATTACTAGTTACAAGCGACCAGGATAAAGTAGCCATTTTGTAAAAATGCAGCGCCCTCTATAGTTCATGAAAAATGCGAACAGCCAAATACTTAGCTTTTTAAAATCTATCTGAGTGGAATGAAGTCAGATAGATTCATTCCAGTCAGATAGATTTTGATTTGATAAAATTTATTTTAAATTTGGAACACAAGAGGAGATAAAGCTTTTCCCACAGAAAGCAAAGCTTTCTGTGGGAAAAGCTTTATCTCCTCTGGCACACACTATTTTAAATCTTACATGATAATTATGTATAAAGAACTATTATAAACTTTTAAGATGTGCATGCGATTCACTTTTCACTTTAACATTTNACAACAGAAAGCTTTGCTTTCTGTTGTTTCCAATTGTGAACACATCAGAAAGCTTTGCTTTCTGTTGTGAACACAATTGCAATTGCAATTGTGACCACAACAGAAACACAATTGCAATTGCAATGTCAAAGCCTTACGGGAGCTTACTCAGTTGTGTTGCTATGACAACAGAAGTAGGTATAACATAATTAGGGTGATTTTACATTAATTGACCAATAGCTTTATCTCCTCTGGCGCACACTATTTTAAATCTTACATGATAATTATGTATAAAGAACTATTATAAACTTTTAAGATGTGCATGCGATTCACTTTTCACTTTAACATTTATTCAGGCACAAAAGAGATCAAGACATACATATGTGTTCTACTGCATTACTTTTGTACAAATTTACTCTCTTAAACTAGTAAATTATCTTGGAGAGCAAAGCAACTCTTGAGAAGGGAGAGATTCATCATCAAAAAATTCTGTATTGCCCTAAGACTCAGGAATGATGCATGCATGAAGTGCGATGGCAAAAGGTGGAAATTGCTGGTGCTTTGCCGCAATCTCACAATATGAACATAGAAATGTGACAAGTCAGATTTTTAATCATGCAATTTCTACAGTGGGTCAGTTTGTTTTAGAAAAGCAATATCTTTAAATTCTTACCTATTCCTATAATTTTTTCTTTAACCAGTAACATTCTATATTAAATGACATTTCATATTTTCTCCACTTCTCTTTGTCAAGAAGAAAACTTAGAAATGTTTTCTACTTGACAAAAGAAAGCAGTGCAAAAAGGTAATTTGAAGCTAAGTTGCTGTTGTCATCTTTCCCTTTTTTACTGCCATGTGCCAACCATATCACACAAAACAAATAAATATATTAAGGCAGGGTCTGCAACCTGGGTTCCCTGGAACGTTGACAGGGGTTCCACAAGTGATCACTATTTGCTCAGCCAAAACACATGTAAAATGGAAATCATCTATACAAGGAATTTTTTGTGTAGGAATGGGTAGTGGACTGTCTTATTAAAATATTAGATTAATATAATACAGTAGAGCATCGTTTATCCGAAAGCCAGTTATCCGAAACGTCGGTTAACTGAAAAAATTCCAGTTGGCAAATTTAAATTTTTGCTAGTGCTGTGGCGCTGCAATCTTTGGCTATATCTTGGGCTACTCCAAAATACTTTTTTTGTTGGTGAATGTGTTTTAGCTGGCAGCACTGACAATTTTGTGTAATGTTTTTCTGAGATTGTGTGTACTAAATTGAACATTTTTGATACCAAATTAAAACTTCTAAGATTAAGACTTCTAAAGTATAACTTTTCTTGTTTTTATATTTTTCAATATATTTATTTTGTTTGAAAAAAATAAAAAAATAATTTTTAACGATACAATAGCCACGATTATTATTTTAAAAAGTTTACGTTAGGCTTACCATCAATGAAAATTCAGCACGAAGCGACATGCAACGGAGAAAAATTTCAACACGGGATAGGTTTATATATTTTTTCGTACATAATCGGTTATCCGAAAAATAAGTTATCTGAACTATCTCAGTCCCCAACTGATTCAGATAAACAACGCTTTACTGTATTTAGATAAAAATTACAATATTAATATAAATTGGATAAAAAGTGGCAATTGATTTTAAAAAATAAATATAAATAAATATTTTATGAATAAAATAAAATCTTGAAATTCGGTAAAAGTCACGTGCTTCAAATACACCAATCAAGATGCATGACATCATATATTAGTTCTGTTAACCTTTACTATGCCGGGGTCGCGAACTGTCGTCCCCCCTTTTTTATAACGATGGACCGGGGTATCGATTCGTCGTTACCCTAATAAAAATCGATTTTAATGAAAATTTTTGGCAACAGATGCCACCACTTGACGGTAGTGTGTTGTCTACCATCTGTTTCACATATTTGTGTCCAGGTGGTGTTTTGTCCACTCAAAAATTTTTATTAGCGATTTTTTTTCTTAATTTAAAAATTTTTTGATTTATTTTATAGCATATTTACGTAATAATATTACTAAAATACGTTTATTCATGCTATAATAAGTTTATTTAGTTATAATAAATCAATGTATGATAAATATTTAAATTGTGATCTTCAATTTTAATATTTTATAAATTTTTTTATTTTTTAATTTAATTAAAAATATTAGCACATTGTAAATGTATTACTACTGGTTTATATATTTATCACAATAATTCATATTATTGTTCAAAATAAAATAAATAAAGAATATTAGTTTGTAATATTCATCGATAGCAAAATAAAGGTTAGATTCCAAACAAAGGATAATCTGTGATAATTTTAAAACTAAAAATCGTACATTCATAAATGTTATATAGAATTGTACAGAACAATATTTGAAGTCGATCTGGCTTAGTGCCAAGAACAAACTACTTAACTGGAGTATGTGAATTTTAAAAAATGTTGCAAATTTTCACAGATAGATGTCAGGTCTGATATATTTTAATTTTTTTTTATTGAAGTTTATATTTAAACGTATTTGAAAATATCGTATTTATAACTACAGATATTAGTAAATGTAACGTAATTTTTGTCATATGAATATAACGATAACTTGATTTTTGGTGAATTTTTGAAGTAATATAACATGTCTGACCTTGTCTGACCTATACTGCCCTTGACCCATTTACAGAATGAATGTAAACAAGGGGGGCGGGGCCAACACTAATGTCAGGGTTAATCTCATTCTGTCTGTTAAATACTATCACATACAAGCGTACAAGTGAGTATTTATTTTGTTTTTATATCATAATTGATAACTCTTATTTATTTACAATTTAATTAGACTATCGTAGCAATAATGGATACGTGGTTGAAAACTGGTAAGCTTCATTCCACGTATGCAGGAACTAGTTTCGCTACTACTGTTGACAATGAACCAGATGTTAGTACCAAAAAGTTGTCTGGTGATTCGGAGTTACCCATTTGTAAAAAGCAGAAGTATAATGAAGAATACATAAAATTTGGTTTTACATGGATTGGTGATAAAAATGAACCAAAAAGGTTATGCGATGAATGTGAACATGTAATGCACAACAGCAGTTTAAATCCCACAAAATTGAAAAGACATTTGGAAACAAATCATCCAACTTTACAAAATAAAAATGCTGAGTATTTTAAAAGAAAATGTAATGAGTTGAAGAATAGAAAAAAGACAAAAAAGACCTTCATGAACTTTGTTAAAAACGATAATGATAATGCTTTGGAAGTATCGTATCATGTCAGTTATCGTATTGCTCAACAAAGTGAAGCTTATATGATCACAGAAAAACTAATTATGCCATGTGTAAAAGATGTAGTTACTACCATGATTGGGAAAGACCATGCTAAATTAGTTGATTGTATCCCCCTTTTGGATATTACAGTTTCAAGGCGTGTTAAAGATATGTCTATTTTTGTGAAAATTAGCTAAAGACATTTGCAAGCTTCTGAACATGGATTTGCTATTCAACTTGACGAAACTACAGATATAGCTGGACTAGCTATCTTGCTCGTTATTGTGAGATATATCCATGGAATGGCTACTCAAGAAGATATGCTAATTTGCAAAAGTCTCCCAACCAGAACAACTGCATAATAAATTTTTAATTTGATAAATTCATATTTCAAAAAGCAAGATATATCTTGGGATTTATGTCATCAAGTATGTACCGATGGAGCCAAGGCAATGCTTGGTAAATTGAACAGCATAGTTGTACGCATGAAACAAAAAATCCTCACATGAGAAGAACTCATTGTTGTCTTCATTGATGAACTCTTGCAGTGATGAAAATGCCAGAAGAGCTAAAAGAAGTACTTAATGATTGTGTTAAAATTATAAATTTTATCAAATCAAGACCATTAAATTCAAGAGTTTTCAATTTATTATGTGAAAATATGGGAAGTTTATATAAAACATTACTGTTGCACACAGACGTTGTTGGTTATCTCATGGAAAAGTGTTAGCAAGATTTTGCAAATTAAAAAATGAAATAAGAATTTTCGTATCTGAACATGCACCTCAATTATCTCAAAACTTAAATGATGCAGTTTGGATTCAGAAAATGGTATATCTATCAGATATTTTTACCTATTTAAATGAGCTCAACACATTGCTCCAAGGAACAAATATCAATATTTTCAAGGTACAAAGTAAAACTGACACTACTCTTTTAAAATTTAAATTTTGGGCAGATTGCATTTTGAAAGAAAATATTGAATGCTTTCCTAATTTGCACAATATATTAGTAGACAGTAACGCTAATCTCGATAAAAATGTAAAAAATAATTTGGTCAAACACTTATAGGATCTGCAAAAAACATTTCGTGAATGTTTTCCTGTTCAAAAAGAAAAATTATCTTGGATTCAAAATCCTTTTCACGACTGACACCTCCGAACTCCCAATAAAAGAAAGAGAACAACAGATTGATATATCAACCAACACTCAATGGAAACTAAAATTTAATCAAATTGATATTATGCATTTTTGGATTGACATTAGGAATGAATATCCTGAAATTGCCAAAAGAGCTATGAAACATTTAATGTCATTTGTATCAACCTATATATGCAAAAAATCTCTCTCTTTGTATGCTGCCACAAAAAACAAAATACAGAAACAGATTGGATGCTGAGGATGACATTAGGTAGCAGATTTCAACAATTATTCCCAATGTAAAAATGCTTTGCAATAAAAAACAAGCACAGTCAAGTCATTAAAAGAATTTTCTTTTTATTAATATGTTATAATTAAAATATTGTTCCTTTTGTTAATTATTCATAAAATATATTCTAGAAAATAAATAAAATAAAGTCTGATTAGCTACCTCACTATTCATTGTTTTATTAAGATGTTTGTATTAAGATTAAATAAAGATACAAGAATAATTTTGCAAATTTGAGTAGAAAACAAGCTTTGATAAACTATTTTATCTGCTACTTAAACATGAGGTTCCTTCAAGAAAACCATGAGCTCGAAGGGTTCTTAAAAGTGTAAAAGGTTGAAGACCCCTGTATTAAGGGATTATGTATTTTCAGAAAATAAACTGTTTTACTTACCAAAACCTTTATTTTGTTCTGGACTTTCAGTACTAGAGAGAGACTTGAAATCCAGCAAATAACTCTTGTAATCGACTTGATACAGCTGTAGACTCATCTTTACCTAAGGGATTATAAGGATGATTATTGAAAATGGGAGTAGCAATTGTCATTTCTTAAAGCATGTTATGATTATTATTAAAAGTCGTTTTTAAGACTTACTAATTTTAAAGGAAGTTGTTATTAATAAACAACAATTTTATTTTTTTCTGGGTTTTTTTTGTTTAATATAAACTTGAGAAATTTATGAAGTATGGAAAAATGCTTCCATCAATGGCAAGATATGAAAACTCACATATTTTCCTGTAACAGTGTTGTGTTTCCTTACTTTCACGTGAAAGGGGTTAACTATTTTCCATTCCTAGCAAAAATAAGCATGTGGATTAAATTTTATTTTATCAATAATAGATATTTTCTAAAAATAGTTTATACATAGAATTTTCTAAATTAAAAATACTCACAAAATCCAGTGCTTTCATGGCCCTATATACCTCATTCATTATGTCAAATGGCTTGCTCTGAGACCGTATACCTTAAATTTTTAAAAAAGTATGGTCAAAATGTGAACAATGATGATGATTATGAAAACAATCATCACCAAAAGGAATCTTACCCAAGTGCCACTTTGCTCGTTTCATCGGCGTTCCCTTTCCTTTGTCAGTACTGTTTCCTCCACTCAACATCCTTTGCCTTCCAGCTGAATAAATAAAATCACACAAGAAATTAATTTTCGTTAATCATAACCATAAAAATCTTAAAATTAAGTTTACCTCCCATTCTTTCTGGATGTGGACGTGCCGGACTCTGCAGAAATTAAATAAACTTTACTTTATCAAGGACCGAATTAAAAAACAACATTGAAAAACAATTACATACATCCAAGAGTGTTGGAGGAGGACTTGAGGCTACATAGAAATCTCGAATTTCAAGTTTGGCCGTTTCGTCTTCAATTCTCTTATTATCCACAATTAAATGATAAGCAATAGCAAGTTGATCATGAGGGTCTCCACTTAATAAAGCACTGTGTAGTTCTTTTTCTTGAACACTAAATTTCTTACATTGAAATAAAAAATGACAGTTAGAAAGTTTGTTTTCTGTTCAATTTAAAATTTGCAAAAAAAATTAGTGTTAATTTGCTATTTCTGAATGAACATGTATAACGTAATGAATATAATTACATTACATACAAAACACTTGTTTGTATATATCCAACATATAAAAATTATTTGTCTGATATGTTAAATCTGCTATTTTATTTGTGAATTACTTCCAGGATTACTACTGATCATTCTGAGTTTTCACATTGGTCCTTTATTTTAGAAAGTAACAAATATTGGTATGAATTTCCAATGTGAATGAAAAATGTATTGAATAATTGCATTTGAAATACACAATACCAAAAAGTATTTTCAAAAATCTTTCTTTAGGAAGTTTTGCACAAAAAAAAGTTCTAAAAACTAACTAGAATCTTAAAAAGGACCAAGTTGCAGACCTATAGAAACTACTAATTATCTCACTATCATCATTCCTTATGTTACAAAATATACATAAATATGTATGTATTTTTACATGATATGTTTTGTGTGTGTGCATATATTACACAAATATTGTATTCAGTAACAGAAAAATTATTTTATTTAATGTGAAATTCAACAAAAGTTGGCAGCATTACAATGAAGTTGATGATAAAATAAACTAAAGTTCTGGTTACTGAAAAATATTTAAATCAGAAATGTTTTCAACCTTTATGTCATCCTTGGCTGACAGAATAAACCATCTAATTTAAACTTGAAACAATTTGATTCTGTTTATTCAGTAAGAGTGGGATGAGCTAAATTGAAGGTTGAAGATATTTCAGATTAAATATTTTTTGGTAAATAGAATTTCAGCAGTTTGTTTGTTTCTTTATTTTTATTTTATTTAACATTTCCAACAGTGCTCTTATACTTTAAAATATTAAATAAGATATTTTTGAAACAAAGATTTTTATGCATTTTTTTCTTTTTTGTAGGGAATATTACCTTTGTTTCTCTTTTTCGTAGTTTTATGAAAAAAAGTATATAATTATTTTTAAAATAATAAATTTTATATAACAATACCTCACAAACTTCTTGTACTGCATCCGTATCTATGATGGAAGCGTCAGCATCATTGGGAGAAGGAAACAAATAGGCTGACAAGTCCTTTTTAAACCAGTCGTGGTTCCTGTATATCAAAAATTCAAATTTAATTATTAATTTTATAACTAATTTAGAAGTATTTTCATTTAATTTTATATTAGTAGTTCAAAAAATTTCAAGTAATTATTAAAATAAAAGACACGTACTTAATGTCTTCCATAGTTGCTCTTTTCATTGGATCGACTTGCAACATGTGAACCAAAAGGTTTACAACTGATTTATTTAAATAATCAGGAAGAGGAAATATTCCAGCTAAAATAGATTAAAAAATAATAAGTATTTTTATTTGAATTATATATAAATAAAGCTCTAAAATATTGTCAAGATTAGAAATCTAACACATATAAATCTGCTGCTCTCTATGAAAACACATTTAAAATCATCATCATAAGAACCATACGAAATCTATGCATTTTATAAAAATCAGAAGATTTAGGTTTAATTGTTTTTCTTATAATAATATAAGATAAATTTACAACTTAATAGAGAGGTTGAGGCCGAAGTTTTAAATGTGAAAATGTGTATGTCGGATGCTCAGTGCTGCTTTCCTTTAAGCCTGAAAGTTTGACAATGGTGTTTGGAATGTCAAGCATGATTCCACTGACTATCCAAACACCATTGCCAAACTTTTAAGTTTAAAGGAAAGCAGTACTGAACGTCCGATGTACACATTTTCACATTTAAAACTTCGGCCTCAACCTTGCTATTATCCTAATAACCGTGTAAACCAGCGCTGTCCAACTTATCATAGCCCGCAGGCCATATTTTCTTCACCAAACATTTCGGGGGCCAAGAAGGTTGCTGCTGTATTCAGCCAGGTTAAGTGAAGTTACGCAAACTAAATAGTACCTACTTTAAATTCAAATTAGATTCAAATTTTCACATAGTAAAATAATTTTAATATTAATAATAATAATTTAGTAACATAAATTTATTCATAGTAAAATGTACTCGGGGGCCGTAAAAATTATTTGGCGGGCCGTATACGGCCCGCAGGCCGCCAGTTGGACAGCCCTGGTGTAAACCTTAATTAATATTCATACCAAAATATTCATGTCAGCAAGTTGACAATTAATCAATACAGGTATCTCTTGCTTAATGTGGAATTTGATTAACGTGTGAAATTAATTGCGGCAATCCCTTTATGTACATGGCAGAAGTTTTAATTTATGCAACTTTACCAGTTGTCTTTACTTAACTTAGATACTGTATTTTGATTAACGCGATTTAATGTCTTTACTGTACGCTGGGAAATGCTACTTTGAATCATCATTTATTTAATTGTGAAAAATTTGTTCTTTCCCATCCAACTGAAGATTGTCACAATGTTTGTATTTCTACAGGGAACAAGATTCACAGATTGTTTCCTAACAGATTCTTCAGTTTGGAAAAAAATATAACTTTATTGTAAACGTCATTATATTTATTAACCCCTCCTCCTAGAGGAGAAATCCTATATAGAGTATATAATATTAAAATTATTAGAATTAACAATAATTCATCCAGTAAATAATTAAAGTAACAAACACCAATAATTTATACTAACATATTGTAAACAGATAATGATTAAAATGATTAACTGCTAACATTTAAGGGACCGATTAAAATCTACAATGATTGCACATAATCAATCATATGCTGAGTCTTTTCATAGTATCAGTGTGAAAAGACAGTTTAAAAATGCCTAGTTACCCAAAAATAACTAAGAAATTGTAGTGTTTTTTCCAAAAGCTTAACAACCCAAATGTGAACTTCTGTTGAAAGAAAAGGATAAAATAGTGTAATTATATTAACACTATTTAAATGTATCTTAGAAGATACTTCAGAAAAACAAGGATTATTATAAATTTATTTTGATGTTTAGGGCACACTACTACTGATAACATTAAACAATTGACAAATCATATCCATGATTAAAATATGTAGTATCTACTGTATAAAAAATAATGTTAGTCATGTAATTACAATCAATTTTTGAAAATTTTTGTTTTACAATATATTTTTAATAGTTTTATTTCATTTCTGTCATTGCAATAGCAAATGTTTCCATTGCTTTACGACATTATCTCCACTTTCAAAATATTATATTATTAATTATAATTACAGATATTAAAATATCACATTTGGAAAGAAAATAAAAACAGTGATATCTGAAGTTTAATCTTTGCAAAAGTTAGATTTTTACACTTAGAGTTTATTTAGTAAAATGACATTTATTAGATACTGTGTTGATACAGGTATAATTTACTTACACTTAATTTTTCTGAAGAGTGTTGGAACATGTTCGTCATCAAATGGCAACTAATAGTAGAAAAATATTTTAAATATTTATTAAAAGCTTAAAATTTAATTCATTCATAATATATAAACTACTTACAGTTCCACAAAGAAGAGCATATAAAATCACACCACAACTCCAAATATCTACTTCTGGACCAGCATATAGTCTAGAAAAAATTATATGCATGAAATATTCCATAAACATTGTGAAAACCAATGATATAAAAAGATTTAAGACTGTTATTTTCTAATTTTATAACATAAGGACAAAAACTATAAATTTAGATGACCAAAGCATTTAAGGCATTGCCCTACCACTCTGGAGAGATGAAATCAAATCTGGAAAATCAAAAACCCAGACATTTCTATAGGTAATCCATCCCAAATATGCTGAGTCCCTGCCCCTCACCACCTAGCCACCCCCGTTGTGAGCCTAATGGAACCCACAATAGTTATGTAGAAGGACTTTTTAGTGCCTGTGGGAGGAATAAATTTGGAGTATTTATTCCTTTATAAGGAAGATAATCAATTAGTGTTGCAACAAATAGTATATTCGGCCAGGAGTGTGGCCGAATAGCCGAATATTCGGCCAAACTATTTGGCTTGATTAACGCACGTACGAAAATTGATGCGCAAACTGCATTATGGCAAGGACCCTGCTCTCTATTGGCCCACTGTCACTACGCTTCGCCAATCGCGTTAATTCTTGACAGTTCAAACGAGAGCATCATGGCAGTATGTGATAAGTGATGATATCAAATGTGGATAACAATGAAATGACCTACACGTGTAAATAATGGAAGAAGAACAGAGAAGGACACGTGTAAATAACGGAAGAAAACCAGAGAAGGATTATGTTATCAACTCAATAAGCTGCCTCGAACAAGTTGAGCTTATTGGCGCGAAATTCACGGCCGTGAATGCCAAACAATTGTTGTCATAGACTTTGGAAAGCTAAATGCTTGTAATGAAAGTCACTTAGCGTGTACGGGTGAAAGCCTGGGGCTACCAAGCTGTTTCGAATCTGTGAAATCATAACTGTGACTTATACCAACGTCCTATCTGTCTCTTTTCTCCGTTATCACCAGACTATGAGTCACGTAATTGTAAAATGGGAAATCTAAGACGGAAAAGTGACAAATCGAAAGTACCGTGAGGGCGTATTATAATGCATGCATAGGTATACGTGGACTAGAGCGATAGAGGAAAGAGAAAGGGAAGAGCAAAGACGAGCGCTTAAAAAGAAGGATAGGCAGGGTCAGACCTCAGATGTGCGACGATTCTCGAATGAATAGGTGTGTACGTGTGTTGATCTTTGTAATTATAAATTGTGAATACATTTGACTAATATTATTTTCTTTTTTATTTTGTGAATGTTATAAGTTATAAATAAATATAAACAAATAACACTAACCCGATAACATTAAATCTAAATATCAAAATGATTAATTTACTGTTTTTGTTATTTCTTACTCCTGTTTTTAGGTATTCGGTATTCAGCCGAATAGTGATTAAATATTCGGTATTCGGTCGAATAGCGAAGAATAGGCCAAATACTGAATAGTAACCGAATATTCGTTACATCACTATAATCAATCTTAAATATAATTCCTTTCCATTAACATATAAAAGTATCATTAAAAAATTAGATATTACTAATTATAAAAGTTGAGTTCATACACTTTTTATCATTTTCTGCATTAAAAAAACTATTAAGACGAGGCCATTACTTGTTTCTTGCATTCTTTAATTTTCCACATTTAACTTTTAACTATATCCACTCTAGAGATAAATGGCAACTTAAGAGATGATATTGAAACTCACTAATATATTGTAATTACAATATTTTATTTTGCAACACATTCTTAACAAACCACAAAATTGTCCCTTGTCCTATTAAGCATTTACTTATAGCTGAAAATAAATTAACAAACTGCAGAAGAAAAATATAAATCTATGTTTTAAATTATTTGTATTTATTTTTTGTTCATTTTAAATTTTATTGTAAAAATTTAATTCTTTTGGAGGGGATCAATTTTATCAACAAAATAAATTATTTATATTATTCGTGCAAGAATTTATCATTATTTAACTGCATATCTACTATAAGTTTTAATTTTTTTTTATGTTTAAAAAAGTAAACTGTTACTAATAGGATAAGTTTTGTGCAAGCAATTTTAAAATTTTAAACTAATAATTCATAAGGTAAAATGACCTGCCGAATTATATTGAGCTCTAATATGGCTACAGAACTATATAAGGTTAACAGATGCTTATATTTAATATTCATTTATATTATGTTTATATTTATATAATAATTCATATTTAAATTTTTTTCTACAAATTAACAGAGAGAAACATACTTTCCAGAAATAACTTCAGGAGCTGCATAATTAGGAGAACCACAACTTGTTCTTAAAAATTCTCCGTCCATCATCATATTAGATAAACCTTTAATGAAAAATTCATCAAAAACTGCTATAAATATATTATAGTATCTTTTACTTATGATTAAGGAAATAATTTACTACTTTATCATAATTGATATATTTTTTTTTAAATATACTGGGTGATCAGATGAAACTTTTACAAACTCCTATTGTGTAGTTACAGTTTTAAAAAAGTATCAAATAAATTTAATATATAGGTATATACTGCTTAACAATGGACTGCATATGTGACAAAGATCCCACAAGATTATAATGGAGATGAAAAATTCATAGCTGCTTCTACATTTTCTATGTTTAGATACATAAATATTCATCACTGTGTTACATAATAGCTTATATGAGTAGTAGACTCTGTGATAAAGTTTATCTAACTACACTGTGACATTCACTTAATAGTGAAGTTACTTAACGAATATCTCGGAATATATCTCAATCATTAAGCAGCACATATCTGCAGTTAATTTTCTTACCAAAATCAGCAATTTTAACATTTAAGTTTTGATCCAGAAGTAAATTTTCAGGCTTCAAATCTCTATGCACAACCATATGTCTGTGGCAATAATCAACACCAGAAATTATTTGTTGGAAGAAACGCCGTGCTTCTGCTTCTTTCAGCTGAAAAAAATGAAGGAAAATTTTACTATAATTAGAATTCTGAAAAGAATTTATCTGATACTTTCAATTTCAAATGGAAATTAGTAAAATATAAAAAGAATATTTTATTTTGGTACTTTGAAACCGTGCTAGTAGTTATTAGTAGTAAGTCAAACACAAATTATTATTGTATTTATTTTCAGGCACTTGGCAATTTTTATCATCAAATTTTATTTAGTCAACTAAATAAAATTTGATGATAAAAATTGCCAAGTGCCTGAAAATAAATACAATAATAATTTGTGTTTGAATTACTACTATTTTATTGTCACCATTAATAATTATATGTATAAAATTCATTATTATAATATGTATTTATAAATTTACTTATAACAGCTAAAATGTGTGTAAAGATAATCATAGAAGGTCAAGTTATTTTGTTATTTATATATACTTTAATATCAAAAGAGAGTTATTTGTACTGTTTCTTAATATAATGTGCAATTTCTTCAATTTTAAATTAATATTTTTTCTAATCATGAAAATTTCAAAGAATAAAAATGCTCGTTCAATAAGATATAAATTTTTATACAAAAAAAAACTGATAAGAGAAAGCAACAATTTACTACATGAAATTTTTAATAAAATTCAATTTATCATCAGTGTACTTCATAAACAGACAAAGGCATAAATAAGCAACACACAATGAGGAAACTTGAAAAGAAATACAGGCATAATTAATAAGTAATTACTTATTAAATTTAACCAAATACAATACTTTTTATTTTCTTTTGTTTTGCAGCAGTAATAAATATAATATTTTGGTTCTATTTAAAACCCAACATGCTTTTTTTAATCTTTTGTTCTTGTTCTATATTTCTATGTTACATGTAAAAATACAATTATAACTGCTTAACAATCATAATTGTATTTTCATATGTATTTTCAATAATTTACAAGTCAGATTCTGGTTAGTGAGCATTTATTTAAGTGCTCTTTGTCTATTTTTAAAGATTTTTATCATCACTAATTTTTTCCTGAATATTTTAAATTACAAATATGTGCTATTTGTAAGATCCTGTGCATTTAAAATTTGTTTTAGAGCACAGATTTGATATTTATGATAAGTGTGATAATAATAGGTCATGTTCTTTTGTATGTCTGCATGTGGTACAGAGTGGTTCATTCTATTTAAATTTCACATTATGTACCATTTGTGGCTCATACGGCCAAATACTGAATAGTAACCGAATATTCGTTACATCACTATAATCAATCTTAAATATAATTCCTTTCCATTAACATATAAAAGTATCATTAAAAAATTAGATATTACTAATTATAAAAGTTGAGTTCATACACTTTTTATCATTTTCTGCATTAAAAAAACTATTAAGACGAGGCCATTACTTGTTTCTTGCATTCTTTAATTTTCCACATTTAACTTTTAACTATATCCACTCTAGAGATAAATGGCAACTTAAGAGATGATATTGAAACTCACTAATATATTGTAATTACAATATTTTATTTTGCAACACATTCTTAACAAACCACAAAATTGTCCCTTGTCCTATTAAGCATTTACTTATAGCTGAAAATAAATTAACAAACTGCAGAAGAAAAATATAAATCTATGTTTTAAATTATTTGTATTTATTTTTTGTTCATTTTAAATTTTATTGTAAAAATTTAATTCTTTTGGAGGGGATCAATTTTATCAACAAAATAAATTATTTATATTATTCGTGCAAGAATTTATCATTATTTAACTGCATATCTACTATAAGTTTTAATTTTTTTTTATGTTTAAAAAAGTAAACTGTTACTAATAGGATAAGTTTTGTGCAAGCAATTTTAAAATTTTAAACTAATAATTCATAAGGTAAAATGACCTGCCGAATTATATTGAGCTCTAATATGGCTACAGAACTATATAAGGTTAACAGATGCTTATATTTAATATTCATTTATATTATGTTTATATTTATATAATAATTCATATTTAAATTTTTTTCTACAAATTAACAGAGAGAAACATACTTTCCAGAAATAACTTCAGGAGCTGCATAATTAGGAGAACCACAACTTGTTCTTAAAAATTCTCCGTCCATCATCATATTAGATAAACCTTTAATGAAAAATTCATCAAAAACTGCTATAAATATATTATAGTATCTTTTACTTATGATTAAGGAAATAATTTACTACTTTATCATAATTGATATATTTTTTTTTAAATATACTGGGTGATCAGATGAAACTTTTACAAACTCCTATTGTGTAGTTACAGTTTTAAAAAAGTATCAAATAAATTTAATATATAGGTATATACTGCTTAACAATGGACTGCATATGTGACAAAGATCCCACAAGATTATAATGGAGATGAAAAATTCATAGCTGCTTCTACATTTTCTATGTTTAGATACATAAATATTCATCACTGTGTTACATAATAGCTTATATGAGTAGTAGACTCTGTGATAAAGTTTATCTAACTACACTGTGACATTCACTTAATAGTGAAGTTACTTAACGAATATCTCGGAATATATCTCAATCATTAAGCAGCACATATCTGCAGTTAATTTTCTTACCAAAATCAGCAATTTTAACATTTAAGTTTTGATCCAGAAGTAAATTTTCAGGCTTCAAATCTCTATGCACAACCATATGTCTGTGGCAATAATCAACACCAGAAATTATTTGTTGGAAGAAACGCCGTGCTTCTGCTTCTTTCAGCTGAAAAAAATGAAGGAAAATTTTACTATAATTAGAATTCTGAAAAGAATTTATCTGATACTTTCAATTTCAAATGGAAATTAGTAAAATATAAAAAGAATATTTTATTTTGGTACTTTGAAACCGTGCTAGTAGTTATTAGTAGTAAGTCAAACACAAATTATTATTGTATTTATTTTCAGGCACTTGGCAATTTTTATCATCAAATTTTATTTAGTCAACTAAATAAAATTTGATGATAAAAATTGCCAAGTGCCTGNAAACTATATTACATACAAATGTACAAACAAATAAAAACCCAGCAAAGCGGGGTCCTTGCAGCTAGTATTATAATAAAGTTAAACAATTAGCCTCCATTTTCTTGGCCAAAAATTATGACTGAAAAATTAGACTTGTTTGCCGATTATGTAATCATTTATGTTTAGTTTTTTAGATAATTTTTAAAATAAAAATTGGATCGTAGATAGTATAAACATGTAAGTATTATATTTTAAAATAATGGTAAATTTTAATTTATTTTTTAATCAATGGAAATATATCTGGTACATTTTTCATTGTATATAACTTATATCATAAAAGAAAGTGCATGTGCTCTAAATATGGTATAGAACTATTTTATTTGTGGTTGTATATCGAAAATAAATTCCTAATATAAAAACACTGCCAAGCTAAGTAACAATGAATTTTACTGTAGTGGAAAGCCATTGATGGAGCATGATGGCCAATACAAAAGACACCAATGCAGCAAACATGTTAATGTATGTAACAGAGTGAGCTATAATATATACCCTAACATTTTTAGTAAATTTACTATTTTTTTTTTAATATTACAAATGAGTTATTAATGATAAACATGTTAATAAATTCAATATAAAATCAATCAAAACATAGTTCTTACCTTGCCATGTTTAACAATATAATCAAAAAGTTCCCCTCCAGAAACATACTCCATAATCATGAATATATCTGTTGGAGTACTAATAACTTGATATCTAATAAGAAAAAACATTGATTTTCTGGTAATTCATAATATATAATAATATAAGAAATTAAAATTTATTCTGTGACATCACCACTTACAATTTTATAATATGAGGATGCCTGAACAGCTTCAGATTTTGTATTTCTCTCCTTATTTTGCCAACGACATCAAGATTCTTTATTTTCTGTCTGTTTAAAATTTTGACTGCCACTTTGTGACCAGTAAGTTGATGACGTGCAGCTGAAAATGATTGAAAGGCAATGAAACAATTTGGAAAAATAAAATAAAATTACATTTACAAAGATGTAAGATGCTTACAAAATATTCAATAAAATAGAAATTATTGTTATAGTTATAGTATATATATATACACTACTATATAATTTATATACTATATATATATATAAAATTAGTAATATATATGTATATAATTAAAATATATATATGTTACCGGCAAAGTATGAAAAAAGGTTCTGATAAGGCTATTATATAAATGACATGCATTCCTCAAAAATACAAATGTTATTCTGAAAAAATAGAGTGCCATTAAAAAAATTTATTCAAAATATGTAAATAAAAATGAAAGTTGTACAAAACAAAATTTATGCCTTTCTTATTAAGGAAAACAAAATTTTCATATAAAAAATAAGAAATTAAAATTATTAATAGAACACTTACGTGCAGTGGCGTTACAGGAGTGGAGTTCCGGATATGGAAATTTATCCAACTTTTGAGAAAGATTTTTTTCCGCTAGCACTTTCAGTAGTGTAAAACTATCATCATCAGGCGGTACATAGAATTTGATAATTTAGGCTTTCCAAACGATATTCCGATGGTTTTTTAAATTTCAATATTGATCATTTTGAATGATATTCCCGATGGTTCAGCTGATTATGGTTTTCGAATATTATTTAAAGGTTCATACGTCATAGCACGTAGAAATGATGATAAATAAATATTAAAGTGAGAGATGTCTGTAAAAAGGCATAGTTCATGCAATGAACAAAAAGAGCTATTTATTTGGGAGACACTACATTTCTACTACCATACCATACAACTCCCCAACTCTCGAGCTCCCACAAATTTGGATAACAGCTTTCAAACAACTCAACCCAAGATAAAAATATTCCTTCATTGCTCATAGGCTTATTTTGCCTTGGTGCGCATACATGTGTGAACTATGCCTTTTTACAGACATCTCTCACTTTAATATTTATTTATCATCATTTCTACGTGCTATGACGTATGAACCTTTAAATAATATTCAAAAACCATAATCAGCTGAACAGTCAAGAATATCGTTCGAAATATTCGATATTGAAATTCAAAAAACCATCGGAATATCGTTTGGAAAGCCTAAACTATCAAATTCTATGTACCGCCTGATGATGGTAGTTTTATACTACTGAAAGTGCTAGTGGAAAAAACCTTTCTCCAAAAGTCGGATAAATTTCCTTATCCAGAACGCCACTCCTGTAATGCCACTGCACTAAGTGTTCTATTAATAGTATACGTCGGCGTGAAGTGCGAACTTATTATATCATAGAAATTAAAATTAACCTACTTGTTGCAACATGGTAGGCTTGAATGACATTTTAAATTACATTTCATTACATTTTTCACGCAAAGACATTTCATATTTTGGCACTTTGTTTTACACATACATTTTATACATGTGTAAAACAACATAATTATGTATGTTGTTTTACACATACATAATTACGTAATTTATTTAGAATTTAGCATTAAAAATAGCCCGATTAATTTACGGCATTCGGTTGGTGTCTTATTACACATACATTTGACGAATCCTTGGCCGCTTCCACTGGACTGAGCAATTGCAACTGACCGGAGAGGAATTTCATGATCAGGAATATCTTCAATTCTAAGCAAGTTCTTAGGGCATGAAGTGAATTGTGATCTCGCATATACTTGTTTTAAAATTCCTTCAGAAGTTTCAAGTCGGTAGAAACCATCCTCTGTCACACTCATTACAACTGCCAATATATTGCGCGAATCACCTCGCCCCTTGTTGACGTCAGGAATAGGAACTCACACAGTAGTTCCCAAAGAAGCAGTGGGAAATTTTTTTCCGAATTCATTTTCATTTTTTTGGCTTGTATTTCCAGATTGATTTCAGAATTTATTTTACCTTCAATAGCATTTTCAGTTTTGAAACAAAGGGTGCACAAAATATCCATTTCATCATCTTTACTAGCATGGCTACAGAAGGTATGAATTTTTGACAACATGTTTTGCATGCAAGTGCATCACTCATTTCCTTTAAACACACACAACAGGTTTCAGAAATGGAAATCTCTTTGGTAAGCATGTCTTCATCGTGTTGGTTTAACCCACTAACGACTATAATCTCATCCATCTTTTTTAAAACAGGCTCCTTTTCTTCATAATCTGATTAGTTTCACTTTTTTTCCATTGTTTTGACACTTTCTATTACTTTTTCTAGCTGCTCCTCTGCATTTATGTCTTTTAAAACATCTTCTGGTATAAAAGACGATGTAAGCCTTACTTTAGGTTTGCAGCCAAAAAGAGCTTTGTATGGTGTTCTTTTGATCCCAGAATGATGAGCTCTATTTTTCATAAATTGAATGAAACGTTGTCCTTCACTCCAGCGGTCAGATTTGTTGTCCTGCATCCAAGTACAGAGCATATTTTCGATATCTTGATTAGCTCTTTCAACACTACTCTGGCTTTGTGAATGGCAAGGCTTCCCATGGACGATCTTCAGTGCTGGCCAAAACTCCTTCAAGCTGGTCACCACATTATTGGCAAATTCCCTACCATTGTCAGACTGTAATATAGATGGCACTCCAAGCAACAAGAATATGCACACTAGGTTGTAGGCTACTTCAGCTTTTTTTGACATTAGAGATTTAAGAATCACAAATTTTGTGAGATGATCTTGGTACACCATAATAAATTTGTATTCTCTATCAGGCTGAGACTGAAAGTCAATAAGATCTACACGAAAATGGGAATTAAATTCAGAAAAAATCAGGTTTCACAACAATGCCCTTTTTAATACCTTTCTGTTTTTTCTGGCAAGGTTCACAAAGGTGGATGTACAGTTCAATATCATAACGTGTAACGGTTTTGTATTTGGTTGAAAGTTCTTTCAACATTCTATCATGTCCTCCGTGTCCAATAGCCATATGAGCTTCATGAAGTATGTGAAATAACTCTGAGTCTGTGACGTAATACTGTATAGTACTGACGCCTTCTTTAACAGGATAAATGAGTTTACTTTTGTTTTCTACAATCATCACATCATAGCAATTCAGCAACCAATAGTCCCTGGGTTCCTTCTTAGTAGTCATTTTGGCTTTTTGTACATCATTTATTAACTTCTGGTAAGTAGTTTCGGTTAAGAAAATACTGTTTTTTGCAGCATTAACTCGAATTTTGCACAGTTCATCGTCGAATCGTTGTTTCATGTCTATAGACCATGACACCTTCTCCAACACTACAGCTTGCTCCTCCATTTTCATGGACCACAGTAAAAAACTAATTTTTTGTTGAACAAATTTAAGTAAAATTGCGTATTTTGACACTCCCGAACAAACCGCAAAGTGCAACTGACAAATTCTAAGCCTGAGCCGCTCGTTAAAAGTCACGTGCCTTGCCAC